CCACCACTTAAATCCACTGCTCGTCCTCCAGGACCGCCCTGTCACTCAAGGTACCCCTCAAACACATCCAGCTCCGTGTCCGTGTCATATGGGACAGAGGCCGGGTCGGACAGCACCCCGAGGTCCACCAGCGCCTGGTCCATGTCCTCAGGCAGAAACACTATCCCCACATTCAGGACGATGTACTCCATCAGAAAGGCATAGTAGAGGATCAGGACGTTCACAAAGAACAGGCCCAGATAAAACATATATGGGAGTTCGTCCAACAGCGATTCTACCGAATCAAGCTGGGCATAAATTGGATGTGTCATAGAAATGGGTTCCTGCGTTTGTGCGGGGCCAGGATGTGGCGGACTGGAGTTGCTGGTGTCACCGTTAAAAATCTTTGTGGGGTGATGGGGCTGGGGCGTCCATTTCGGCTCGTCCCGACCTGCAAACAGTGATAGAGAGGGAGCTTGTGAAGTGCTACTTTATCTGTGCGGCCTGGAAGAAAAGAAAAGCAACACAGGTAGTCTTATGGGCGTAGCGTTCATAGCTAATAATAACCGAGGGACGGTATCAAAATATCATCTGAGCTAGCTCGACGCATTCTTGACATTGGTTCTTTGGGTTTGCGGCATTCACGCCATGCCAGCTGGCTACGGCTAAAAACAGTAGCATGCAACGCTAGAGGAAACCAACGCGAGCATTTCTACAAGCGAACAGTCTTTTCTTGTACACACACCAGTGACGGAAAACACCAAAACTCACGCAAACACGCTTCTCCCGATGTTTTTCCAGCTAAACGTCCCTTCAAACACTCTTGCCAACTGCATGAAAACAGTCCTCGCCACAAACCGACATCTGAAGCCTCGGCCGCTGATTGGCTCGTCGCTGGACAAGCTCTGCTGTGATTGGTCGTCGAAGGTGTCACTCGTCTTCGAGAGGACGCGTCGCGCGCTTTTAAACGTCACCGCCGACACCGGAAGTGACTGTTGTAGTTTTGGTCCGCTCGCTCTTCTGTGCTGTGTCACGAGTCGACCGTGGGGAAAAGAACTCCAACTCCCAGACGAACCAGACCCTAAACCTGTTACGTAATAACCCCTCAGCGCCGCTATCGCCGCCTATCACCTTCTGTTTGCTAAGTAGCTATCTGTACGGGAAAGTGGGTGTAATGGACAGACACGGACACTAACCTGAGCGAAATAACGCGCCTGGCAATACATTACCCCCCCCCCTCCCCTTTAAAACCGCAACCATGTTTGGCCGGTCACGGAGCTGGGTTGGAGGACAGGGGAAAACCAAAAACATCCACTCCCTGGACCATTTGAAGTGAGTAGCTAGCATTAGATACGCTAACGTTAGCCGCTGTGATAACTGGGTGACAACGACTGTCAGCGTTATCGTTAGCCCAGGTGTTAACAGCTGGAAGAGCTGTGGCTGACCAGCTGCAGATGATGTCCAGGAGATGTCTAGTCAGCTAATGCAATCTGTGGTTGCTGTGTCGTTTCTTTTCCGCTTGGGGAGGTAGATAGGTGTTAGGCTAGCTTGTAATTGTTAGCTTCAGAGTGAAAATCCACCCTAAAACAGGATTGTAGTCTCCTAAATGTTCTTATAACTGTATAAAGGGAAAGTGGAAGCATCAAGAATCCTCAAGTGTGTAGAGTTATTCTGGCTCATTAGACCTTAGTGCTGGGATTTAGTGAGTCCATATAGTTGTCCCACCTCAACAAGTGACAGACAGTGAGGGAGAGCTCAGTCTGAACACACCCTTCACATCAGGACAGTGTATGGGCTTTAACTTGGTGGTTGTTACATTACACTATGTGTCTCTAGATCACTGCAGTCTGCTGTGACGTTTAAAGACGGATGTGTATTCATCAATTAAAACTGAGCTGTGCATTCACCACTTTTTTTCCCAACGCCTTCCCTTCATTCACGTCCCTCCATCAGGTATATGTACCATGTCCTGACTAAAAACACCACAGTGACGGACCACAACCGGAACCTTCTAGTGGAGACCATCCGCTCCATCACAGAGATCCTCATCTGGGGGGACCAGAATGACAGCTCTGTGTTTGAGTGAGTACCCATGTCTGTTACGCTCAATCCCTATTGGAGCGACTACTATGTAGATGTGACGCCTGCATGGGAATCAAGGTGACAGCTTGTTTGTATATGAATCTCCATTCGTAAAGGTTTGCTAATTGTGCACATGCTTTGTAACCTCTCTTTCATGCATTGGAACAGATGCACACTTTGTAAACTAATGGAGTGTGCATCTTCAAAGAGACCCTTGAGGGCAGTCACAGAAGATTGCTCCTCAGTGATTTTTACTAATCGTGTCTGATCACCTGATATGGAGATGTTTGAACAGGAAAACTTGAAAAGATTATAGCTCACATAAATGGATAATCATACTCTGAAAAGACTCCTACCCCCTTCTTTCTATACAGTTTGTTTGTTAACAACTGAGCCACCCTGCTGCTCTTCTAAGTAAAGCTGTGTCAGTATATTAAAGATATTCCTGATTTTCTTTTTTAACACACTTGCGTGGAATATTAAATATTTGTATTAAATTCAAATCTTGTAGATGTAAATATCAAAATAAACCTTAATGTAAGCAGTTGGCTTGTTGTAAAGTATTAGACAGCCACTTGTTGTGTGTGTTTTATCTAGTTGAGATGCAGTATAATGTTGCCAGAGAACGTCTTTTTATTCTAAACCACTGAAGCATTTTAGTCATTTCTGGGGAGTCAAGCACATGAGACCGTAGTCCTTTGTTTGGTTTTTTTAATCAGGAGAAAGTCTGCAGTTAGTGCTGCATGTCATCACCTCTATCTATCTATTTCGCCATCTCTGGCTATATCATGTGAAACAGGAAATGGCTTTGCAGAGCACAAAAGCCACAGAGTATGCTAAAAGCGTACTTGGTGCTATCAAGAAACCCGTAGAATAAACATGGGCATTAATGGTCACTCCTCATTTTCTAGGCTGGTAGCTGTATTTTGTAGTCATCGGCTGTAGAAATGTTTCTCAGACAACTCTTACTAAAAAAACTGATCTTTAGGTTAGAAAATAACACTAATAGCACTGGAGGACTATAAGTCTGTATTTATTGTGTGGTAGCTAGAGTAAGTCAGTCTGAGGTCTGTTCCAGTGAACAGTAGCTTGAAATGATGACCTTTTTTTTAAAGATACATTTTTGGCACATTGCTTTTTTTTAGATGTGAGAGTTTAGATGCAGACAGGAAACATGGGGGAGACGGAGAGCAAGGTGTAAATGACACGTTGGTGGTGTGTTATGCATCTTAGCCACTCGTCCACCAGGATGCTGCGAAAGACGAACATTTTTCTTTTAGATGATTATGTTTTAAGATCAAGTAATGATGAATTGTATCCTGTGTGTGTGTGTGTGTGTTTGTGTGTGTTTAGCTTTTTCCTGGAGAAGAACATGTTTGCCTTCTTCCTGAACATTCTGCGTCAGAAGTCGGGTCGCTATGTTTGTGTCCAGCTCCTCCAGACCCTCAACATACTGTTTGAGAACATCAGCCATGAGACTTCTCTGTGTAAGTATTCGAATCAACACTGATATGAAAAACTAGAAACGTAATGCATTGCAATACAGTAACCCTGCAACAAAGGATACATTTCTCTACAAGTCTTTTATTTAGTCTTTTATTTTTTGAGACTGCAGCATTATCAGTTTGTGTGATGACTCATTTCTGTAGCATGAGTTTTGAGGTTTTCTTATATAATGCACTCCTGTTGTATTTAAATGTGTTTATATTATATATCAGAACATCTTACTACATAAATATTTTTGTAGTTTGTTCAAGTAAATAAATAAATTAGAGCTGAAAGAAGCTTTAGTCTGGATTCAAAGTGAGCCATGAAGTATGCCCATTACACCTATTACAGAAATGTTGCATTGGATTGCTCTAAAATGTACAATGTGAACATGCATACATGTCTTTTTGTAGGCTAAACAATGCAAGGCACGTTGCTCTGCTTTTCTTTGCAGGAATATACAGAGCCTTAGAAGCCTTCTGCAGTCTTGCTGTTGCTAGGCAACCAAAGACTCAGCAGATGATACACTGTCAGTCTTTACAGTGGGCTGATGTCTTATATAAAGTAGGTGAGGTTTGCATTTTGCTAAATTCCACAGGTATTGCGAAATGTCCGTTGTGGCAGAGTGTGGAATGAAGTCTTGACTTCTGTGCACAACTGTGACTGCAGTAGTCCAACTTCACTGATGTGATGATAGCAGAGCAACAAAGGAAGTAGTGCAGTGAAGCAATCCACTCTCAGTTTTAGGTGTTCAGTGTGCTCTTCTACAGTCACTGGGCTCCTAGAGAGAGATTGTCAGCAGTTCACAAAAAAAGCCATCATCGTAAAGCATTTGCTGTGTGAACAAACCTGATCAAGTCTCCTCTCCTCTCCTCACCTCAGATTACCTGTTGTCCAACAACCACGTGAACTCCATCATCGTCCACAAGTTTGACTTCTCGGACGAGGAGATCATGGCCTACTATATCTCCTTCCTCAAGACCCTGTCTCTTAAACTCAACAACCACACCGTTCACTTTTTCTACAATGAGGTGAGGCCGCGGGGGGGCGGGGGGGCATAGAGCATCTTTCATTCTCTGCCAACAACTTTTATCGTGCACTCTCTTTGACAGACATAGAGGAAGGAAGGAAGGAAGGAAGGAAGAGATGAAAGATGAGAGGCTTTCATTTGCATTTTGTGCAAGTTGACCTGTGTTTGTACTTAATTAGACTACTTCTATTCACCACATTGCTTTCTTTCTACCCAACACATTTCCCCTGTCAGAACGTCAGCTTCCTGTGTAGATTGTAGTTGTAGTTGATTGAGCTGATCTTGTTCACAAGGCATCTTTCTCTTCCCAAGTGTCAATGTTACCTTTTATTTAAGGGAACGTTATATTTATTATAACAGTGCAAAAAAAAAAAGATCTGGTGTGGTAATAGATGGTATAACAATAGAATACTGACCACCTGAATAATCTCTGATGATGTTGTTACCCTTCATTGTTTCAGCAGTGATTGTAGTCCTTCCTTTGGCCTGTGTGTGCTGGGGAAAGTTATTGGTGTACTGTTGATGGTAGCTTTACCCCTGAAGCCAAAACCAGACCCAATGTGTAGATCTGAGAGTATTTATGTATGCGGTTAAAAAACCCATAGCAAATCTTATCTTATTTTAGTTTCACTTTACTTTACTTCATTTATGGATGAGCAAAAAAAGTAAAACCAGCTGCAAAGGAAGACATTTCATAAGCAGGCAAATCATATTTAAAATACTAAATAACCTAATTGAATCCCCCCCCACAATTTACACTATTGCTCTTTATACTTAATTTCCCACTTTGTATATTATTATTCATTTATAATTTATTGATCTGTAGTTTATTCTCCTCCAGATGGCGCTATTGGATAGCTGATTACTGTAGCCTCATCAGTTCCTGTCAGATCTACACAAGTTACATTTTTAAGAGCAGAGGACACACTCTTGGTTTGGGTTTGGTGTCAGGGTCGTGTTTCTTCATTTGCTGTGACCGCTTGCTCTCCCACCCTCAACCGTGATTGGCTGGAGGTCGCAGTGACTGAGGAATGTTTGGGTAGAGGGTCAGGCCCTGGCACAGAGAGAGAGGACTGTAAGATGCAGAGCTGCCGGTTTGTCATTTGTCAAATTCACCAAGTGCAGCATGCTGATATGTTAACGCGTCTGGACCTTGGTCCACAAGGTTACTGAGCTATTTGTTTACTGATGGTGGAGTAATTCTCCTTCTTTAGTACACTAATCCTGTAACAGCTCAAAATAACTTCTCAGTATTCACCCAGCCTGTATTTCTGTAAAAAGAAAACAATGTCCCAACTTGCACTTTAACATTTGTAGATTTATTTCTCAGTTAAATAGACAATTAAATAGCCAGTTAGCTACTCTCATTCTGTCCTTTCCTAGTTATCTGTGATACTGCCTAGAATTTCTGTCTCCACTAGCTGCTTTCTCTCTCTCTCTGTGGTCGTTTTGTGGCCTTAGAGCGGCGGTGCAATGCTGTGCCTTGCTCACCGGCGCCCCCCTCTCTGTCTCCCACACACAGCACACTAATGACTTTGCCCTGTACACCGAGGCCATTAAGTTTTTCAACCACCCTGAAAGCATGGTCCGCATCGCAGTCCGCACCATCACACTCAACGTCTACAAAGGTGAGTGTCAATAACACGCATGCGCACATGGTAACCGCACACACACGTGCGCATACACACACGCACACCCATACACACACACACACACACACACACACGCACTCACTCACTCACGGGATGCTGGGACTGCCTACCGCCTCTCTTTGTACTCCTTCCCTCCTTCTTGCTGCTGCTTCTGGTGCATGAGCATGACTAACAGGTAACGCTGTAACAGACACACACAAAAACGCAGTCTGCAAAATCTTTTAGCCTTTTTTAGCCCTTGTTTCCTTCTACGTTATGTAATTTATCATTATTCTAGTATTAAAAAAGTGGCTTTCTGGAAGTGTGATGTAGACTAAAATATACATTTTAAAGGCCCCATTTAACACGGTTCTTTTATTTATTAACTTTTTCAAATTAAAATGAGTTCATTATTCCCAGCAACCTGTTACTAGTAAAATAATTTCAAGTATCTTTTAAGCAGGTCTGAGGACAGCTACATCTGAGTACATTTTGATTCTACAGTAATACCACCATCTGTCATTAGCCACACATATTATCTAATGATATCCCAGTCAGCAGGTCTATGATACTAGAATTCAGCAAATATTTGCCCAGAATCTGACAGTTGAAAGCTGTTGAAAGCCAGCTGAAATTGCAGAACTACAGATATATGTAGACATGCTTACAGTTCAGACTCTATATAGAGCAAGATCTGGCTGTAACCCTTGAAACTGTCTGGCATTCAGCCAAGCCACTTTGAGGGATCATTTGTTATATTGAGGACAAATTAAGGGTTTTATTCCCTACTGTGAAATACTGATTCAAATAATCACTTTATCTTATTGTATATCTTGTTATCGCAGTAACATCTACCGTTACTTAAATCAGATAGTTGCCCTTGGTTTTGTTTATGGTGTAACAGGCCAATTGTGATGCAGTGTATGTAGTTATGAGGATATCCAGCCAGCATCAAATATCAATCAATAATTAGATACATTTGCATTTGTATAATTAAGGTTGGATGTAAATAGTGTACATGCTATACATTTTTACCCATAATTTTCTTTTTTTTAGTTGCTCACAAATTACAGCTATAATCCATGTCCCATCTTATCATTATTAGTTTATCTTGTATTACTTGTTTTGTCATCCAAAATTGTTGCAAGTGTAAAAATAAATACGAACTCAGTCATGTTTACACACCGACTACTAAACTTTCTTCCGCCGTTAAAGTTTTCCAAACAGATTAGATTATCTGCAGGGTTTTTTGCACGAGTCAGACGAGGACAGCAAACAGCAGCTCAGCCTCTTGTAGCCGCAGTGCCAAGTGCAAGATGCATGCAGAGAGTGGCATCTACCTGTGGAGGAACCTCCAGTGGAGAAAAGCAAGGGAAGAAATGAGGGAGGAGAGAGAGACAGAGCGACAGCAGGATCAAACAGCTCCTTTATCAGCAAGTGAAACTCCCTGGACCCAATATTTCCTTTTTCTTTCAGAATAACGAATAGAATAATAAAACGCATCGGACTCACTGTGCAAGGTTTCTATGCATAATGATTTTAATTGTTTTACTTTTATACATACAAAGAGATTTAGAAAAGTGACATAATGAAAATAATCCTGAATTTGCCAACTAATGCATAAAATTAGTTTCTTAACTATACATTTAAAAGATATATCCTCTACCAGCACATCAACATCCCCCACTGGAGGAACAAATGCACTGGACTGTGTCTACACAAAGATTCCTCACAGATACAAAGCCCTCCCACATCCCCATTTTGGTTTATCGGGCCATATTTCCCTGCGTCTCCTGCCAACATACACCCAGCTGATGAGAAGGGTCAAACTTTAAGTTAAAAACTGTTAAAGTGTGGACAGATAGAGCTAGAGCAGTTCCACAGGAATGTTTTGAGTGCACAGGCTGGCACATGTTTCCAGCGGCTGCTACCCATTAAAACCACATCAATCTGGAGGACAATACATCATTAGTGACATCACACATCAGCAAATGTGTTGATGATGTGGTCATCACAAAGGCAATAAAATCATTCCCCAACCAGATGAACGTTAGGATGAATGAAGAGGTGAGCATTCGTGTCCAGAGCCAAAAAAAAGCTGCCTTTCTGTCAGATGACAAGGAAGCATACGGCGGCGCCAGAGCAAGACTGAAAGCTGCCATCGAAGAGGCAAAGCGGAGGCACCAGCGGACTGGAGAGAGACCTCAACACCAACAACACCAAAGACATGTGGCAGGCAATCAAAAACATCACAGGCTGCAAAATCAGGAGCTCCCCCATCCTGTGTGAGACTCCAGATGAGCTAAACACATTTTATGTTTTTATTTGATCTCCTCAACAAAGAGCCGGCGGTAAAGTTGACTCCGCCTCCAGAGGATCAGCCGCTGACAGCATCCACAGAGGCTGTGAGACAAATCCTGCTGAGAGTGAATATGACTTAAGCTGCAGGGCCTGATAATATCCCTGGCCGTGTACTAAAAACATGTGCAAATCAGCTAGTTGTTGTCATTACTGGCATTTTTACCACATCACTGTCACACTTCCTATCTGCTTCAAGACAGCCACCTTCCGCTGCCGTATCACCACACCTAAAAACAGCTTCTTGCCACAGCCCTCTCAGGCTGTGAGATAAATCAATATTAAATTCTTCCTCAACAATTCATCATACAGATTAATATATATATATCTTTTTTATGACATTTATTGTTTATTATTTTTAGGGAGCTATATCTGAATTTCATTCTCCAACCTAGTGTTGTAAATGACAACAAAACAACCTTGAATCCTTCATATAATCTATATATGTTGGACATTATGATCCCGTAACATATAAATCAGCAGAAAACTTGTTGAAATTATTATTTTCTTTAACCCATGTACCTTAGAAAGCAGCTCAAAGGTTTAAACTTCAATTGAACTGAACCCTGCGTGTGTGTAAAGCCCAAGGTTCAGCATCACCGCCTCACTGATCTCATGTGCACATATTAACTAACTATAAAGAAACTAACTCTTCAGCAGGTCCACCCTACACAGTCACAGCATGCAAAGTCGTTGATCCCCCCCCTCACCCAAAAACCTTCTACACATTAACCCTGCAGTTTTTTTCAAAAGAAACTTCCTATGGGTGCAGGAGCAGCACAGCATTGATGCTGTGAGTCTGTAAACAACGGGATAAGAGGTTATGTTGCTTTTCTGCACTGTGCTGCGTCAGCCTCTGCTTCTCCTTCCTGCCGTCTCCCAGGGTTCAGAGCTTGTCACTGTCACTCCGGGGGGAGGCGGGTGGTGCATTTAGTGGCTTTGGCTTTTCTCCGCATATCATGCTTCTCTTCACTATACATAACATTGCCTCAACATATAGTCACTACAACATATCAACTATGGCGTCCCGTCTGTCTCCGTACCCGTTTGTCTGGTCCTGCATGTTCGCTTTGCACCGTACAACTTTGTGTCTGATGGCGTCCATAAAGCCTTGATTCTGTAACTCCCAGCACTGACGTCATTACACTTAGCACAACTTACTTTAACCACAATGAAAATACAAGTCATTTTAATATGAAGTAACCTGGTGGTGTGGGTGATGCATCATTGATGGGCTGGCAGTGTGCTATGCTGTAGTAAGGAATCCTGTCAAAGACGGAAGCATCAACTTAATGCAGCAAATGTGACTGATGGCTTTTTCCCACCATCTGAGAATTGTCAGGGGACCACACAGAACATCTATAAACTGATGTACAGGCAGAGACGCTGCTGTAATGCTAAATATTGATTGCATTGTGATTGTATGCAGTGACACCTCCCTTGCTGATTTAATTACTTTTTAAATGAACCCACGACTTAAATACTTGCACAACAGTGTCATAACACTGAAAATGGGTCCGTACATTGCAAACTTTATTTTTTTTTAGCACTATAATGTTCAACATGTCACTGTTTGATGCTTCCTACTGATTCCTTTGGGTCACACACACTGCAACAAATGACAACCTGGAAAAGGATTTTAACCGGCATCAAGACTCATTAAGCTGGGTCAGGATATTTTAGTCATTATGTTGTGTTGTGTTATGTTTTCCCTTGTAATGTAGCTTGTTTTTGAGGAAACTGCTTGTTTCAGTTTTCTCATACACATTTAAAAAGCAATGTTAAATCCTGGTTAAAATGTTTAGGTAACAGACAAACTCCTTTGCCAGATGTGCCATTGTTTGCAGTTTTATTTATTAAGATACCTGCGGGGTCCCTCCCAACCTCCACCCCTCCACAGTCGCCCCTTTACTCACATTAACCCTGTGTCTGTTTCCCCCTCTCCCTCCTCCTCCTCCTCTTCAACAACCACTCCTCTTCCTCTCCTTGTCTCTCTCCTCCTCTCCCTCCTCCCTCTGCGCGCCCCATCTGCCTAACGCCAGTTTCATGTAAGTTGGTTCCATTCATTCAGTCTTATTCTTAGGGCTGGGTATCCTTAAAACATGTGTTTTGTTTTTGTTTTTCCTTATACAGTTTCCAGTTGTTCACACGCTACACTGATGCAGATACAATTCTACAATTCTAAGTGTTAAATTAGCCTGTAAGCAAGTCAGTGTTTTACTAAGTTGGCTGATTTTCATCAGTACAGTTGCTGTTAATCTATTGTCTTGTATTGCTTGCAATATCTCAAATTTTTGACACATTTTTTAATGATTTAGCATCACACATTACATACCAGTGTTTGTTGATACCCAGCTCTATTTGTTCCTAACGATGTATTTGTTGTAAATGTACTGGTATGAATATCCTTGCAGTTCTTGTTCTTGTAAACCATTCTGTATCACCTACCCACATACATGCAGAAACCCCTGCATGCCTTTTTACATTTTATTTTCTTTGGGTTAATTGTTCCCCAGGCTTAATTTCAGCTGAGCCCCACATGTTGGTTGTTATTTTGGTGATGGGTTTGACAGTTTTAGCCACTGGTTATTTAGTCAGTATCTCCCCCGGCTTTAATTCTCAGTTGATCCACTAATAGACTAAGCTGGTATTACACTGTGACTCTTGAGTAGTGGCAGCTTGAGAATCGTCAGTTTCTGATCTTATGTAATTCATTCATGGGATTTGGCTGACCATTCACCACCTGTCCCAGTTTGACTGGTGTGGATTGACATTGACATCAGCTTTTATTTGCATTTGAACAACTACATGAGGCAGTGGAAATACACAAGGACTGTTCACATTTCAAGTCATTCACAGAGCAGAACTATCCTAAATTTCCTCTCAGATATTTCCTGTGATTGTCTAAACTTTGTGGTTTCCGCCGAAGTGCCCTGTGTGTTAAAATGCAGTAGGCTCTGCTCTGTAGTTTCTCTATTGCTGTTCTTGCAGCGTGAATTTGAGGACACAGGACGCTTATTCTCTTTGAGCCTCCTGTCCACTCAGATATAAGGGCTTTTATACTTGTACAGTATTAAAAGAGTACTCCACCGATTTAGCATTGCGCTCCTTTAACACTGACAGACTCACAATGGATAGAGCAATTTCAGCAGAACCAGCAATATTGTCTTTTATATGCATTACATGCATTCTTATTTCACAATGCAACTCAACCGCAGACAGTTGGCTCAGAGGTCTGCGTAGTGGCTGATATAGCCTTGAGCTGCTAGCTTTAAGCAGCTCACTTCTTTCTCTCCACACCTCCAGATTTTTTTCTTTTTTAGCCCCAACTGATGCTGACTTCCCTCTGTAGCTACAAAAGGCTTTAAGCAACTTTTTACACATTATTACTACGCAGTAGTATTTTTCAAGACCTATAAACACACTGGAATCAGTGGAGTTTCCCTTTTACCTTTAAATGTATTAACATTACACTATGACTAATGCTGTGAATACTACTTATACATAGTTGGACCAAATCTGGCTAAGATCTTGCTTATGTCTAAAGATTACTGATCTTGAGAGAGCGTCTCCTGACACACTGATGAGCGCAGACTCAGATCACAGGCTTAGATCAAACCAACAGAAAATCCTTTTTTTCTGTATTACGAGTAGCCCCTTTCACACTGTTTCAGTCTGAAATTGAACCGCCTTTCCTCTAAATCCCACTCCAATAATATTCCCTTTATATTGTATTAACAATGGATTGAATGGACCAAGTCATGTACTTAATTTGACTTAACGTGGTTGGTTAATTTTCTTAATTTGTCTCTTAGTTTTAATGTTTTGTTTGGTTTTTTTTTAAATCATATTTAACTGTCACATTCTGGTAATTCTTCAGGGTCACAAAGTGTATGTACATATGAGTATGTGTGAGTGAGTGTGT